CTATATTTACTCTCTCTTTGTATATGTATCATAAATTTATAATAAAACTTGTTTTGGCTTTGGCTTTCTCGAAATTCGATTTTATAGATCGGAGTTGTAATTTGGAGTGGAGTTTTTAAAAACTGATGGAGTTGGAGCGAAGTTGGAGTGGCTTACCCCCGGAGTTGCCCATCTCTGTTGTAATCTAAAGAAATCTTTCCAAAAATTTGTGTAGAAAAAAACAAACTTCTCTTCTCATTGCAGTTTCTAAGAAAATTACATTTCTGTTGAATAGTAGATCATATTTTATTTGTAGATAAATGATGCTCGTAAATCAAATACGAAATTGACAATTCCCAAAAAAGAAGTGGATTTATGATTTATATAAAGATAATGATAAATTAAATAAATACGACATAAGAATTTTCGAAAAAAAGAAGATTGATATCATAATGCACTTTACAGTTAAATAAGCAGAAGCAGCAATGAATAAAGAAGTGGTTTACAACATGAATTTTTATGGGTCAATTCATATAATGAAAATGTGCCATAATAAATCCTCATTAATATAATTCAGCACTGTTCAATGAACCATTATTGTATCCACCTGTAACTAACGCTGTTCCATTGACTAAGACGGATGTTGTATGCCAGTCTCGTGCATAACTCATATTTCTTGTTGTTGTCCAAGTGCCTGTTGATGGATCATATAGTTCGGCAGTATTCAAGTAACCACCACTATTCTGTCCACCTGCAACTAACACTGTTCCATTTGCTAAGACGGATGCTGTGTAACAGTCTCGCGCATAACTCATACTTCCTGTTATCGTCCAAGTGCTTGTTGATGGATTATATAATTCAGCAGTTGTCAAGAAATCACTACCATCGTATCCACCTGTAACTAACACTGTTCCATCTGCTAAGACGGATGATGTGTGAAATTCTCGTGCATAACTCATGTTTCGTGTTGTTGTCCAAGTACCTGTTGACGGATTATATAATTCAGCAGTGTTCAGGTAACCACCACCGTATCCACCTGTAACTAACACTGTTCCATTTGCTAAGACGGATGCTCTGTGATACATTCGTGTACAACTCATATTTCTTGTTGTTGTCCAAGTGCCTGTTGATGGATTATATAATTCAGCAGTGTTCCAGTAACTGACACCATTCCATCCACCTGTAACTAACACTGTTCCATTGGCTAAGACGGATGCTGTGTGATATATACGTGCATAACTCATATTTCCTGTTGTTGTCCAAGTACCTGTTGATGGATTATATAATTCAGCCCGGTTCAGGTAACCAACACCGAATCCGCCTGTAACTAAAACTGTCCCATTTGCTAAGACGGATGCTGTGTGACCGCGTCGTGCATAACTCATATTTCTTGTTGTTGTCCAAGTGCCTGTTGACGGATTATATAATTCAGCAGTGTTCAGGTAACTACCATCGTATCCGCCTGTAACTAACACTGTTCCATTTGCTAAGACGCATGCTGCGTGAGTGCCTCGTACATAATTCATACTTCCTGTTGTCGTCCAAACTAAATTCAATAAATATATATCAAAAAAAGGTGTTCCTTTCAATATCCTCATTTCATCTACCTCAACACTGTATCTACTTGTTTTAATCACAAACGAAATAATCCTTAATCTTCATGAATATTTCTTTTCTTTTATCAAGAACATTAATTTATACGTTAGAATACAATAATAATGTGAATAGATATGAATATTACAAGTTCTCAAATATTGAAAAACAAACAAAAGATAAACTCATCTTTTATTCGAAACATCCACAAGTAATAAACATATCTTTATTCATTTGATGTACTAAATCAGTTTCAAGTAATTTGCAAAATGACAAAAAAAGTGCATATTTTTATTTTACATTTCTTTATGTACGAAACTCAATGGGAGCATATCGATGTTTGTTTTAAACTATTTTACAGCTGTTTAGCGAATAAGAACTTTGATATGTACTAATATTTCACCACAAATCAGAAGAACAGAGTTAAAATCTTACTTATCACTCGACTTTTTAACTCTATAGCTGACATTTGAAAATTTATTATCCAATTTATAGAGTGAAATTATATGAAAGATTATTTACGAATGCTATATGTATCATTATTACAAATATAGATGAGAAAATACGTCAAAAACTTTCTCATTGCCATCGATTTGAAAGAGTTATCAAGAGAAATCACAACTATCTAATCAAAATTGCTTACTGCGTGGTGCTTCTGTTGTTGATAGTGATGTTGTTGATGATGATGTTGTAATCAGAGCCAGCTCTACTTAAGAAAATAACAAATTTTATATGAATTAAAAAAGTTAGAATGAATATTGAGTTTAGATTTAACTTATACTTGTTGTGTCTCTTATTAGATTTTTCGTTAGTTGAAAAAAAAATTCATTTTGCTCGAACTATATTCAGACATCCACACTCTTTTCATATGTATAAGAGAATTTAGTCTTTCTCTGTTCCTTTTAATTCATCTATTCCTCAAGCTTGACAAAAAAAGGATAACTCGTGGATATAAAAGAATCATTTATTAGAGAGAATAATACTCTTGTACTTCTACTTATACATCTCTAATCAAAGTCTCAAATCGATTCTTCTATTCACTTGTAAATTCTAATTGGAAATTAATAAACTATTGTATCTATATATCATCTCTCTCGAATACAAACCAGGTGGATATCGTGTTCCAATAATTGAAATCATTGTTACAACATTCATTTCATATGACATATTTCCATTTTGATTTAATGAATCATTAAATAATTGACACTGAAAAGTGAATTTGTAGAAAGTAATTGCTATACATTGATTTGGACTTAAACAATCAATTTGACATTGACGAATATCGGATGTTGTGAGATTATTAAATGGTAAACAAGTTGATTGAGCACATTGAAATATTTGATCATTGATTACTGACATTTGAATAGATCGTATGTTATCTCCCATTGTTTGTATAATAAACATTAATAATATTAGTAGACAAATACTCGCTGGAGTCATCTTCACAGTAAGTCTTAAACTATTGAAATGAACAAAAAGTGCAGAAGAATATATACTGCAATATTTTCTCTTATTCACTCTCTCTTTCTTTTTTCTATATTTCTTTCATTAGTTAGTTGAGAAACTAAACATTCATGACTTTTCTCGTATATCAGACCAATGCGAAGAGAGAGAAAGAAAGAATAAAAACAAAGTTTACCATTGAATGGCTTTTTTCAATCGAAAATCGTCAGAATTTTCCTAATGAAAAATATTCGTTAGAATGCGATAAAGAATTAAAGATTTTGATTTATTGCTAAATAGTTGATTCTCATAGATTGAAATATCATTTTATTTTTCTCGTTATACAATGAGAAAAGAATACGTAAAAAAAAAAAAGACGAATGACAAGTTAAAGATAAGGAGAAGAAAAGTTCTAAAAATTATTTTGACCAAGAAATTAGAATGTACTACGTAGTTGATTAAATGAAAAGAAAAAACAAATTCTATTAAATAATAACCAAATATTTATTGATATATGTATTTATTTTTTTCCAAGTCAGATCTTTTCTTCCTAGTATGATATTTATTTAACTTTAGTTATACTTACATACCTAAAAAACACAAGTGATTAATTAGAAAATAATCTAAAGACATAGAATTTGTGTGTATCTAGTCAATTATAATGATAAAAATCACTAAGTTTGAATAAAGAAATTGTTGTTAAAACATGACAAAATAAATCCAATAAAATAGTCATAAATGATAAACAAGTTTTTGTTGCACATTGATATTTCCGTTCATGCCTTTTAACTATTTCAGATGATATGATACTTTAAGTAGTTAATTGTTCGGAAAAAAAACTTCACGGAAACAAAATTGAAATTATTATTAAATGAGAAAGAAACTGAATTATCCGCATATGTTATCAGAAAAATATTCTTTTAATAAACAAAAAAGATATACTCTTTTTTAATGAGTTATTTCAATAAAAAACTAACTTTGATAAATACAATAATGTTTTTTTTATCACATTGCATCGGAAAACAGACAAATCACAAAATCAATTGATTCAAAGAAGTGAAATAAAATGATTGTTTAAGAGCAAAATCGCATAACTTTATTTGAAACCAAATACTTCGAGGAACTTTTAAACTAAAACTGAACAAACGAATAATCAAACAACTCATAAAATTACCGAACATTACTAAGAAGACAATAATGTGTTACATATATTCACTTATTTATATAATCGATGAAAATAAACAAAAATATTTATATGAATAAAAATTCAAAGAAAAAACAACAACACTATTATTGAGTATAAGTAGTTTCAGAACAGTTATTCAGTACGTCAATGCAGAAGAAGGAGATAAGAAATATTGTATTTTATTAGAAAGTGGATGTTGTCATGCATAAATTCAAATCATATTTTCTTTTTAAGTGTATTCATTTTCTTTTGCAAGAAAAATTAATTATTTTTTCTCTTCTTCTTCTTATTATTATAATATCTATGAGAAACAAAAATCATCAAATAACATATTTACTAACATCTTATATGTTCAAAGAAATATCGTATAAAGTGTGCAAAGATATGAATGAGAAAATTTAAGAATAAATTTCAAAATTTTATTGTGAAAGTAGAAAAAATTGGAAGTTTTCAAATCTATCCACATACTTTTAGAATAAATATTCTATGTTTCTTCATTTGTCAGAACTATATTTTGATTAAATCAATAAAAATGAAATTCTAACATTACGAAAGAATCGCTATATTAATTTGATTCATATATGCTCTCGAGATAAATTAATAAAATACTATTAATAAGAAAGAGATAACAAAACAAAACACATATTTATTTTCTTCGTCTTTTTAAAATTTGAAATAAATATATCTTTTTAATGATATTAACATATGAAAAATACAAGTTGAAGATCTTTTTAATGAAGTTTTCCACGAAATATTTGAATATTTTATGTTTTTAATCAGCGTTTTCGAAATCTTTTCAATCAATCGAACATATTTTAATCAAAGTTTATCTTGGTTTAATATCAAAATCAATATCTGAATCTGATTATCACGATTTAATTCTTCCACATTTATATAAAATAGAATAATTTCGTTTTTTATTGATTTCTTTCTTTCATCTGCTTCTATTATTTCAAAGGTTATAGTTATTAACAATATTCCATCCAGATATACTTGAATAATCTTTTCGATGATCTGTCAATCTATCTTACTGAATTCATTACCATTAATCATTATTCATAAATATTCTATTCGAAACAAAAATCTTTTATATCAAAAAAATAATTTCAATTGCTTTCATTGGAATATTTCGGATAACTTTTGATAGAAGTACGATAGAAAGCTGCGATTTTTATCATTGAAATGAGCAAATGAAATCGCATCGAATCCTATAAGACAATGACTTTAACTTAGACTTTGCATTTCTTGTAGAATAGTTGAAAAACAAAATGCCTTAAGAATAAGTCTGATTTTCTCAGAAAAAAGTCGAGTTTTTTATCCCAAGTTGCTGGTAAAGCGGACTAGAATTATTGAATATAGTACTCAGAATTTTTAAAAGAGTAAAACTTTGAGTCAAGTCCTATATATAGTTTTGTAGTCTCTGAACTCATGACTTTCATCTATCCCTTAAAGTTTAACACTTCTTCTGTCTTCATATAATAACCGTCATTTCTTTTAAGGTGACTATAAACCGTTATTGATTTGAGAAATAAATTCCATCTTGAGGGTGGGTGTGGGTGTAGGTGGGTGTAGGTGTGTATGTGGATGTGGATGTTTGAGTAGATATCGGAATTCGATATACTATGCACACCCACACCCACACCTACACCAAATTTTTCGTTGTAAAATATTTTTCTAAAAAAACATCTTGAATACGAATATATTTTACAAATTTTTTGTCAATACGATAAGTGAGGTATATAAGTGTAGATTGTGAGTGATTAATAGTGAAATGAAAAGAACAAAATAGTCCATTAAATGCTTTTTGTCCTTTTTTTTCTCTTTCACTCTTTCAAATTTATTCGTATGTGTCTATCAACCAGTATTTTTTATCAATTGTTAACCTTTTATCGAACAATAAATTGAATGTTAAAAAAAGCATTGTAGAAAGTTTACTTTTATTTTATTTTTTGTAACAATAAAAGAAAATATAAATTACAAAAAGGAAATACTTAGTATATATGATAAAACAGAAATATAAAGATTATTATTATTTTTAATTAACATTGACAAAAGCCTTGATTATCAGTATTGGGTTTATCAGTTGAACTAGATGGTAGAAGTTTGACTTCAATTCCAATTATAAAATATTTAATATAAAAGTTAAATTTTTTTTTTCGAATTATTATTTACCAGGACTATCTGTAACTTTAGGCTGTTCCATACCAAGCAATGCAGATGCTACTTGTTGAAATAACTATAACAAATCAAACAGATTATTATTATTATTATTATATTGATAATTAATCTAAACAGATAGTACTTGTTTAACATTATAACCTGCTTTACCACTTGTTTCAATGAACGTAACATTTAAATCTTTTGCTTTTTGTTCTCCTTCTGCTGTAGATACTTGTCGTCTATCAACTAAATCAGTTTTATTACCGGCTATGATATTAATATTAAATAAATATATATAACGTTTTTCCCTCTCGAAAATATCTACCAAGCATTATGATAACATCAGCACCACGTTCAGAACGAACTTGTTCTATCCATCTTGATGTTTGTTGAAACGACGTTGAATCTAACGAATTTTTAAAAAAATCCGTTTTTTTATTTTTTATTTTTATATGATATTTTTACTTGTCACATCGTAAACCACAACAGCAACCTTAGAATCACGTATATAGTTAGGAATAATACTTCTATAAAAAAGAAGCAAAATGGAAAAATATTATTAAAAATCGTAGCGAAATATTTTATCTATTACCGAAATCTTTCTTGTCCTGCTGTATCCCTAAATTTAAACAAAATATTTTTATATATTTTTAAATAAATCCATTCTTACCATATTTGCAAGTGAACAGTTCGACCTTCTAAATCTATAGATTTGGATAGAAAATCTATACCGATTGTAGCCTAAATTTAAAATAGAATTTATATTTCTCGCCAAAAATGTATTCTTACTTGACATGTATTATCAAAACTATCATACATAAAACGAGTAACTAATGAAGTTTTTCCAACTAAAAATATAGAAATAATATTTATGTCTAGTATTTTTTTTAATGATCTTACCACTTTGTTCACCTAGAAAAACCAATTTAAATCTAAGACGAGGATTTCCATTTTGTTCTAATGACATTCTATTAATCAAAATCAAAATAAACAGATCTACAAAAGAGGAAGTTGTAGAATCTTAATTTAGACTTAAAAAGAAAATAAATCTTCTTTCTGTGTCGCGTCTTGTAGTGTGAGTGTTGAATGATAAAGTGAGGGCCGTAAAAAGCATGCACTTTTTATTGTTACACATAAATGAATAATAAAGATATGTAAAAAAAATAAAATGTATGTGTTTGTTTGGAACCTGATTATATGTCATTTGAAAGAACAAATGATGCTCTTTAAAATGCGTCGACTTTCGCGTATTTCATGTGTCATTTCATAATTAAATTTATTGAAAATAATGAATACTATATCTAATTACGAGTGAGCATACTCTGAAAATCACAATAAAAGCTCACCGAACTCGTTGCTTTCCAAATAATAATTATACAGTTTTTTATGCTCTTTCGAATGGTATCATTGAAATTTAAAAACAAATCAAAATTTTATTTATTAATTACTAATTAGTATTAACTATTAATTAGTTATTAATAATTAACCAACTACAATACCAATAGAAGTGCTTTATACTAAAATGTAGCCCATTAAATTCTGCATCGAAAGGTATATAGAACATCTTTCAGATGTTGTCAGGTAACGTAAAAATGAGCCAAGTACTTCAAATCTGCCAAATTTTTTTCCTACTTTTTACCAAAATGATCCGTGAAAAAAGCTCTACAAAACTAGATATAAGAGAAAGTTTTTAGAATATCTTTATTATTTGTTTATGCGTAAAAACCAAAAAAGTGCATGCTTTTTACGGCCCTCACTGTATGTTATTATAAAATGTTCTATTTCACACATGCCTATATATATATCATGGAATATCCGTAGGAGAAAGAATATTCCATAACAATAAAACCATTCGTAGAAAGGAAGAGGAAGAACTAAAACATGACGAACGATAATAATCTTTATCACTATATCACTCTATTAGTAATACAATATTATTTACAAAAACTTTATCTAGCATGTTTGAAATAATATCTACGAGATTGTTAGTGTAGGTGGTTGTGGTTGAAATAGAGTACCCACACCCACACTCTTGTTCCCTCGAAACCACTGTCACAAATCAAGAGATTTTTCACTTTAACTATTATCAACTATTTCATAGTGTACCTTCTAAAAAGAATTTCGTAATTACAGGATTTATCGCAAGGGGGAAACAGCTGATTATTTGATTAGACGTGATTAACAGTAATTAATAGTGATTAGGAGTGATTAGAAGTGATCAGGGATGATTAGGGGTAATTAATGATGATTACAAGTGATTAGGGGTGATTAAGAGTGATTAGCAGTTTCCTAATCAGCTGTTTCCCCCTTGACTCCACGACTAATATTTTTTTGCCATACAAAGATCTTCTGACTTTAGGGTATTTTAAAATAAAAAAAGCTATAGTTATCTAATAATAAAGATCAACTTAGGAGTGTGGATGAGGATGTTGTTGCTAGCTAGAACCTTTTCTTATACTGGTACGGACAGCATACTCATGGACGCTGTCCTTCTTCTTTTTCTCGTCACCCTCTCTTTACACGATGCCGGCGCAAAACTGATATAATAAGATGGCGAGTATATTCACAAGTAACCTTCGTTCTCACCGATAACGCTTTTTTCTTTGTTATCTGAAAGCACCGCGCAAGAAAACGACAGAAAACAAGCAACTGATTACGTATTACTTTTTATAATAGTAAATATTTATGAAATAGATAACAAAAGAAAAAAGGTAATAGAAATGGGATACCTATATTCAACAACACAAAAGCAAATGTGACTACATCATGCGCATGATAATAGAAGTACCTGTTGTGAAAAAGCTTACTGATGCAATTTTTATGACGTTAAAATGCAAAACGCATACATCTATTATGTATTATTAGTACGTAGATGCGTTAATCAAATTTTGTCCGTTTTCTTCTTGTATCACTCATACATCGATCCAAATAGGCTAGATTTACTGTGATATAACACAACTAAGCATAATATGAAAAATTCTAAAAGGTATGTGAGTAAAAAATCTATCATCTACTGTAAACGACAATTTTCTGTAAGGAGAAATGTTCAACTCAACAAATTCTATCGCTGAAGTAAGTTGCTATATGTTAATCAATTTTTCTTTCTGCGTTTCTTGCGAAAAATATTTTGAAGATTTGTTTGAATTTTTATTACATGCTATGGGAATGTTCTTTCTAGATCATCTCTGATATAAATCCATCTAGTTCAGAAGTTCTACGGATCTGTTTACTGGCTATTAAAACCGTTATGGAACAACAAGATCTCAACGTCAAGTTATCGACGACAAACTATCCACCACTGCCCAGCTTATCTGAGATTAAAACCAAAATACCTGCCCACTGTTTTCGTTCCACTGTGCGTCAATCAATATTTTACGTTATCTTAGACATATTCATCATTACTATTGGTTATATTATCATGTTTCAACTGGAATACAAGCTTAAATACGCCATTTTACTTTTTCCTCTCTACTGGTATATACAAGGTAAATCCTGTTCATATATAATCATTTTTTGGTAGCTTACCATTTTGTTTTATACAAAAGGTACTCTATATATGTCGCTCTTCTCTATTGGACACGATTGTGCTCATGCCAGTTTCAGTAACTATCAATTGCTCAATGACACTATCGGTCAGTTCTTTACTTTTCTTGTCTAGCATTATAATCGTATTCTTATTTTGTTCAGGTACCATAGTGTTTACATGGATATTGATTCCTTACTTTCCTTGGAAGGTTAATTATCAATTATATGCATTTATTTTCAACTCTAATGATATTTATTTAGATAACTCATAAGAATCATCATAAAAATACGAATAATATAGACAAGGACGAATCATTTTGTCCACAACGGAATGGAACTTACGAAGAAAGTGTTATGAATAATGTCTTTCTCTGGACACCCGGCTTGGCGTGGTTCTATTATCTTGTCTATGGCCAAGAGCCGCGTTGCGTTAGTCATTTCAATCCAGTAACTATATGTTTTTTTAATATTGAAAAAAAGATATTCATCATATTATTATGTATTTTCGATCTTAAGTTCGAACTAATCTTCAGAAAGCATAGAATCCAAACCAGTATTTCACTCGGCATATATGCAGCAATGGTAAATGATTAAACAAGTGAAGAACTTTCGTATTGTTCATTATTTTTCTACTGTAGTTATGTTTGATGTTCTTCTATGCAATGCATGTAGGCATCATCAGTTTGATCGTCTATCATCTCGTTCCAGTGTTTGTTTTTGCAACTTACTTCGTAATTGTTACTCTATTGCATCATACAGAAATGTCTGAAAAGAAAGAAACATGTTTAATCGTTATATTGATCTCTTTTGTAACTCTAGGGATGTTCCATGGTTTATCGACAGCGAATGGAACTATGCCAGAGGGCAACTATCGACTATCGATCGTCACTATGGTCATGTTCATTGGATCATTCATTCAATTGGCACACACCAAATTCATCATCTTTTTCCTAAAATTCCTCATTATCGTTTAGGTACATATATAACCTTAATGCTATTATCTTTACTTTTTCATGTTTTTGTAGAGGAAGCTACATTTTACTTTCGTAAATCTTTTCCAAATCTTGTTCGTATTAATAATGATCGAATCTTATCATCGTTTATACGTATGGGCAAAAAATTTATTCGACAACGATACATTGGCAAGGATGTGTCTGTTTTCACATACAGCGATGATCAAAATAAAAATTAAACTGTTAATTATATTTTTTAACATATCAAATTGTAATTTTTACTTTTATTTAACCAAGTGAATGTCAGTTCAAGTTCAGACTTACATTCCCAATAAAACATTATTGAATTCACTAAGATTTTTTTTTCTTTTCATCAGTACAGATGGTTTCAGTTAATTATGTTTAGGCAAAAAAAAGTCATTTTCTGTATCAAAAAACATTGAAAACATGTTTTTCACAGTCAGAGAGAACGTTTTTTCTTGACTGAGGATGAAATTGATGGTGAGGCGTGAGGATGTACGAATTGACGTTGAATTTCAGATATAGAACAAACACACACATCATCAATTTTTTTTCTAAATATTATTTTAAAATAATTTGTTAGATCTAATAGATGTCGTGATAAGAAACTAAACACCATAATTGAAGAGCAGATAACAGTAATTATAGGTAAAGTTTAACAAAAACGATGTAATCGAAGTACTCGATACTATTTATCAAAGTAAATAAAAGAAAAAGTCAACACACACGTCATTTTTTTGGGTGTGAGTGTGGGTGTAGCTGAAAATGCAAAGAACAGAGAACTCTCACGTATATCTACACCCTCAAGATGGTTTTAATTAAACGTTTATTTCTACCGTCTTAGCGTTATGTTTATACTGATACAAATGATAAACACGTCTCAACATCACAAGTGACATTAAAAGCACATATTACATTTGATGATCTAGATAAAAGGGGTAAATATACATGTATGACACAAGATGAAGAGGAGAATACTGGTTCAGATACTCTTAGTACGTAAGAAGAGGATGTTCATAATCGACGAACAGGGCTTTGGCTAGTGCATCTTCTAATAAATGAATTTTATTTAATTCTTATTTTGTAACATAGTGTGACGTTGGCTCTAAAATTTTAGAAATTAGTACACCGGGTATGGTTGATGAAAATCATGTAAAGATTCAATGTGTAGGTGCAGAGTCATACGACGAAAAAATAATTGAATGGTATTTTAATAATTGAGTATGTATTAATTTTAATTTAAACGTAAACTTTATCAGTTTTAACGGGAAACTGTGCTGTCGTAAATATGGTTTTAACACCATATATTTTGCCATTCAATAGACAGAAGATTATGCTAAGACCTAGTACACAACAGTCATCACTTATAAAGTCATTAATATATTTGAGGGTGTGGGTGCAGGCGTGGGTGAGGGTGAATGAAATGAGTATTCTCATTTACATCGACACCCACACCCACATCCACACTCACACAACCACACACGATGTGTTTACAGATACAAGCGGGGATAGAGAAACAAAAGTCATCAGGCGGAGCCTACTAAGGATGAGATTTCCCTCCCCAGCACATCGTTTGTATGTTTATGTATCGATTCCCTCTCAACTCCTCCGTCCCAAGACAATTTCCAACTTACTGTGTAATAATAACAAACATGTTCTCTTATCTGCACATCAGCGTTGAGATAATAATAAAAAACGGCGCAATTTCGTATATTATAAATATGACATGGGTGTAGGTGTCCTGGTGTGGGTGTCAGTGTGAACGAGGATACTCATTTCATTCGTTCTCCTCATTCAAATTCATACTCACACACCCTTATTCACACCCACACTCTAGAGACCTAATATTGGCGGAAAATATTTTTGATAAAATATAGGTGATTCGATTTAGTGTTTTGTGCTGATTCTGAATATCATATTTATTTCTCTTGAACGTGAACTTTTTGTATTGCAATTCTCAAAATACTACGCTATTTTATAACGATTTTACCAGTAATCTGAAAAAAAAATGCTTCCTCAACAACAATAAGACATTAAATTAAAAAGATACTTAAATCTTCTCTCCATCGTATGACGAGTAAAATGACATAAAATTGCGAAGTAAAAGATGAACCTATCGAGAGTTTACGCCTTTTGGGAGATTAAAGCGGATCTATAGAAAACACATGAATATTAGGGTAGGGCACTATCTTTAGGATACACGATTATCCTATTATGTTTCATATGATCATTATCAAAGTTATAGCATAAGGTGCAGCAGGAAAAACTGCATCTAATGAGCATATTTGTAAACGTCCTTAGTAAGTAAAAATTTTCGAAAAACAGAAGTTATTTAAAAATGAGTAATTTCAAATCATATGAATTTGTTAGTATTTTGTTTTCATGTTTTTTCGATTTTTTTATTCCAAAGAAGAGCTAATAAGTTTTTGATATGCTTAGTCCTGTGGAACTCAATGAGCTCTATCGGACTATAAATAAATCGCGAAAAAAAAAATCTTCGTCGAGTTTTGCATTTGGTGCACTTTATATTTTGTTTTTTCTCATAAAAGAAAATGGTAAAAAACGTGTGTTTTTTTATCGTCAGAACAGAAAGAAAAGACGAACAATATTTTTGTCTCTTCTTATATAAAAAATGGCAAAAAAACGTATTTTTGATCGCGATAAGATAAAGAACAGAAGAATAATGTTTTTTTCTTTTTTTATATTACTTATTGTTTCACATTAGTAAGGAGCACACGACTTTTGACTTGAATATATTTATGCAATACAACTGAAAAAATGAGTAAAAGTAAGTTATAAGAAGCAACGAATAAGTGAGAACTATTTTCATGTGTCTAATTCGTAGGCGAAAATGTGTACCCGATAGATGAAATATATCCAAAAAAATATACTACAATACTATCTATAGCCGGTTCTGATCCAAGCGGAGGTGCTGGCATCCAAGCCGATTTAAAAACGTTCTCCGCTCTTGGGTGTTACGGAATGGCAGTCATCAGTGCTCTTACAGCGCAAAATACCCAAGGTGTACAAGATATTCATTCGCTGCCATCAGAATTTGTGGCAGCTCAACTGAAATCGATTTTAGATGACATTGCCGTTGATGCTGTTAAGATTGGCATGTTAGAGAGAGGTGAAATCATTGATCAAATAGCTGCTCATCTAACACGATTTAAGGGCATTATTGTTGTCGATCCTGTTATGTTCGCTAAAAGTGGTGATCAACTCATTAAAGATGATGCAATTGAAGATTTAAAACAGAAGATTCTACCATTTGCAACCGTTTTGACACCGAATATTCACGAGGCATCTCATCTTGCTGGTGTAGAAAAAATCGAAACGAGTGAAGAAATGGAAGTAGCTGCTTTTAAACTCGTAGAATTGGGACCATCTGCTGTAATTATCAAAGGTTCACGGCCTCGGTTAGCTGGCAGAGACTGTCTTGCCATAAGAGGAGCCTCTAAAGCGCTATGGTTTGAATCAGAGCCTATTGTGACAAACAATTTACATGGAACAGGCTGTACATTTTCTGCAGCGATCACCTGTTTTCTAGCAAGAAACAAGGATATTGTCACTGCTATTAAAAATGCCAAGGATTATATTTCTCTAGCTATAAGTGAAGGATCCAAGTATCAACTAGGACATGGTCGGGGACCTGTACATCACTTTTACTCATGCTGGTCACCTTCCATCAGTTTTACGCAAGAAGCCTGGTGGAAGGTCAATCATCTCTATCGAAATATACTCGATCATCCGTTTATCAAAGAAATGGGAGAAGGAACATTGCCGGAGCAGAAGTTTGAGTATTTTATTCAACAAGACTATTTATTCATGCTTGACCGAGCAAAAGTATTTTATATTCTGGCGTCTCGTACTTTAAATGACGAAGAATGTCGTAATTATTTGGATGAATTTGGCAAGACAAGTTCCAAGAACGCTGATGAGTTATTTCGGAAATATAATTTCCCAAATTTTACTGATGATCAACTGAAGAAAGGGCCGGCTTGTACTGGTTACACAGATTTTATGATATCAAAGGCTAAATGTGACGTGGCAGAATGTCTGGTGGCTTTGTTACCATGTACAGTGTTATTTCAAAAAATCGGAGAACATCTAAAACAAACGGGCGTCGAATCGAATAATCCAAAATATCAGAAATGGATCGATAATTACAGTAGTTTAGAGAGACGCCGAGAAAAGGTAGAAAAGTTTATTTGTGTTATAGAAAAGTTAATTATCGGTAAAGATCGTTTTCTCCTTACAAAATCGTTTGAACAAGCAACTCAGTTTGAATATGAATTCTGGGATGATGCGTATCATTTGAGAAAATAGCTGTTTCTCTTTTCCAACTATGTATATTTTAATAAATGTTGGAGATTATATCCTTGACATTATTTTTTTCATCTTCATCTTGAGGGTGGGTGTTGATGTGGGTGGGCATAGGTGTGGGTGTGGATGAGGGTCTGGATGTGAGAAGGAAATAATACCCACATTCACCCTTGTTTGAACGTAACACAAGAATCTCGACGAAGGTTTCCTCCGAAAAAAAATCGGATATGATGTTGGTATCTGTAATCATCACACATCCACGCAATGTATTTCAATAACTGTAGGTATACAATATCGATCCAATCACACAAACACTTCATTTTCTCTTATCTCTTTGTGTCTTTCATACTTATATCAGTATAGGAAAATTCAAATTTAATTAATTTTAGGAGAAAATAAAACCTTCTAGTTTTCTTGCGAAATGATACGAAAACTCATGAATTTTATTTTTTCTAAAACATATACGTTGTTGTTGTTGTTGTTGTTGTTGTTGTAAATTCGGTCCTTCACGCACGTCAGCAGTTTATCAATAGAAATAATGTACGTCGACGATAAAGAAAACAAAAAAGCAATTTCCATTGCCATCAAACCATGCAATTGTAATTATTAACCATGAGTTTCATTATACACATACATATGTATAAGGTTAGATATGAAATAAGAGATACATATAGTATTATTATCGACATCGTAAACCAAAACTGTAATGTCAGTTCTCTTTTCTTCGCTGGTCTATATATAAGATGCGCTCGAAAAGAATACTATTATATAGACATTTATTTTTTATATGTATGTACATCTATAGACCTTATCTTAGCGAAGAATACTCCCTGTTGTTATTTTTCTTCTTCATAAGTAAATGAATAAAAACTAAATAGATATTTTTTATTTTAGACCAAAGAAAAAAAGATGTTTGTTGTATTCGTTATTTTTTTAACTATACTCATTCCTTCAATACAATCATCTAAACCAGCATTAAAATTAACATTTACTCCCGATGAAAAATATTATACAGAGGGTCATGTGGTTGAAATTCTTTGTGAATTAATTAATCCTAATGATCATACAGAATCACCACAATTATGGCATGTTGATATAAAAAGTGGTCAACGTACGGCAATAGGTCGGGTATTATTAAATACACCACCAGATGATTCATTAGATATATTTAAACATAATAAAAATAAACGTTTGGAATATGTTAAAAAAAATCATTTACGTATAAGACAAATTTTATTTGAAGATACATCTCGATATGAATGTACTTGTCCGGATTGTGAAGAACAATTAGAAAAAAAAACAAAAGAACTTCACGTAATGAAATTAACAGATCCAAAATGGCATATTGAACCTGGCTGGCCAATACAAGAAAATGCTAAAACAACATTAAAATGTACAGCTGATGATTTTTATCCATATGTTAGTCATCAGATTCTTCGCAATCATCATAAAATTGATGGTGACGGTAAAGCTACGATACCGAATAATAATACAATTCCACAAAAGTTTTCTTGGGAAGCAACTGTTACACCAACACATGAATGGCATAATACAACATTAGAATGTACAATTATTGAAGGTTTGTTTTTGAAAACGAAAATAATACAAAAGAGAAGAAAATAGCTTTTTTTAAATTATTCAATAGGTAATCATAAAAAACATGCAGTAAAAATTCTTGAGGTTATATTTACTCCACGTTTTATTAAATGTGAAGAAAAACAATATGTTAATTCCACGAGAGACAAATCAACAATTGTATGTTATTATGCAGGAAATCCTCAACCAAAGTTATTATGGCTTCGACAAACAGATGAAAAACCTATAACATCAGATGCAGGTGTTACTATTGAAGTAACAGATGAACATCATGGCAAATATAAAAGTGCTGTTACATTTGGTCGTCAGATATTAACAACAAGAGAAGATAATTACTATGAACAATTATTAGCAGATGGTGTTATTGTAAGATTAACAAACAATAATAATGAAGTTAAAGAGTCTCGAAAAATAAATATTGTGAGTGATCCAAATCATGCACGAACAAATCCACTTGATAGTTTATCGAGAGCAACAATACAAAACTTTTCAACATCTATTATCTTATTTTCATTTTTAATTATTCGATATATATGATCTAAGATCACTAAGCTACTAACGCCCGTTCGTTTCGCTTTATTTGCAATTATTATATGAATGGTGCTGAAGAAGTTTTTACTCAACCCGAAAGTTGAGTTTTTATTTAATAAAATACATAATTGCAAAATTCTTTTGCACCATAAAAAACAAACCATAAAAAATGATTTTTAATTAAATCTGTTACCTCAGTTAGAAGAAAAACAGAAACTATCTAGAGAATGGATATGTAAATATAATTATAGATCACTTGCATGCACATTTTATGGTAATTGAATTCGACTTGCATTCACGGATGGTCTCAAGTAACATTTTTTTGTGATATATGTCTCTACTATCCATTCTCATAAGTGATATTTCTTATTTATATTTGAATGTATATCATGTGCTTTAATTTGTTTTTCACCTAATCACCATTCAGGGACAGCCTACCACGATGTCAAATTAAAGAACAATATAACTTTTATCCAAATAAAGGAAAATAATTTTGTAGCCCTTTTTTCGATGCTTTGAGACAATTACAATTATTCTCAGCATTTCTCAACTGATCAACCGTTTTTGCTGTGCATCAAAGTCTTGATTAAGAATGTTATGTTCAACCACATATGTCTTTTCTTTATGTTTGATACCAAATGAAAAATTTTTATTTTCGGAAGCTATCAGCCAGGTATCTGATTTTAAGCGATTTAACCTTAGTTTAACAAGTTTCTCTGATAAAATAGTCATTATTCTGTCGAAAAGAGCATGATCGAAAACCTTTATATATCGTCTTTGAAACCTATTAAATTAAATTTATAATGTGCAAAATTTCTTTGGGAGTCGAAATTGAAAAAATAAGTCGCGTAGAAAACTGTATTCTATTCAATATGTGAATTTCAAATCTCTGATGAACACAATTAATTACTTTTGGGAATATATTACTGTGCTAGTGCATGAACAGGTTAATTTGTTATCTTGATGACGATATCAAATAATCAGCAAACAAATGGTGAGTATATGTAGGTGAGAGTATTTCGTTCATCATCTTTATCTTAAATCATAAAGGATTAGTAAATGTGAATATTACTAGTTTTAAATATAGTTAAATAATGCATCATTTTAATAAAAAATGTTCAATGGAATGAAGAGAAAACTTTTAATAATATGTACGGCACCTTAGTTAAACAAACACAACGTTTATTGTTAAATCACAAAACAACAACAACAATAAGAGCCTTGAATATAATAAGATTAGGAATACCGATGATACAACATCAACTGCAGATGACGATAGACAAGTTATTTGCACAAAAGTACCTTTTTCACTTCATTTCGAAATGTTTTTGATACAATTAAATTGGTATAACATTCAATACAAAATGGAATGTGATTACTAAAAGTACTAACCGAAGCAATAAAGACCTCAATTAGATTTTGAACAGAACTTTTTATAGTGTATTGAGTAGCTTGTTGATACATAAGAAAAACTGATACGGCCCAGTTAAAAATTATATAAATAATAATATCAATAAGAAGCATTCGAACAAGTTGACGATCTCTTGCTCGAAGAAGAGGATGTGGATCAGTTGCAGTTGTAATTCGATTCATTGATAAAACAGGAGCAACTCTTACACGACGTAAAGTTCGAATATTCTTTACAGACCACAGTCCACATGTGATTAATAATAAAGGAACAAGAATTGCTTTGATTAGAATTGCATAATAAGCTATGAATACTAAATATGCACCTGATTGAAAATAACAAAGAAAATAATTTGGTGCATATTCTATAATACTCCCGAAAATTAACGTATGCGTTTGAAATAACATCCAAAATAAAGTTCCACTAATAATACATATATACGCAAAATGATGCGTACTGCGTTGACGTGTTCGAGCATTAGATGATGTAATTAATACTCGATCAATTGACGCTAAAATCATATAAAATGGACATAATATATCGAACAAGAATTGTACGTAAAGATTGAAACGGCAGAAGATTAAACTATACAAAGTTGGATGAATATTATAACCAGCATCTAATACTAATATTAAAAATGGTAAATACATTGTTATTATATTAGAAATATTCAACGCTATTAAATAAGTTGAACATGCGCTTTTACGAAGAATATTTCGAGAGAAAACTATCAAACTCATTGTACAACTTAAAGTACCAATAATAATCAAAATGAGACCACCAAATTGATATAAATATTTCTGGGATAATATTATTAAAGTGATCGAATCATATTCTGAAGACATCGTTTTTTTATTTCTCTGAAAAACAATTTCTTTCAATGTCTTATAAATTTTAACAAATTTCTCATCTATCTATTAGAAAATATCAGCAAAGATGTGCTGGATTAAGTCTATATTTATATAAAAATATCTTATTATAATTGCTTTTCCTCTTCAATAAAAGCATCATTAAATATAAAGTCAAAAATTGATTATAATCAAGAAAATAAGTGGGAAATGCTAAATGGTTCTTATGCATTAATGATAATTTAATCTTAATGACTTTTACTGTTCGGTTGAAAACAGTATTTTGTTAAGAAATTCGTTTTCGAATTATGACAACTTGGAAAAACTTTGATTAATAAATCAAACAGAGATTGACAATGTTTGGTATATTCTACAAGGGATCAATAGAAAGAATTCTGATTTATAATCATGAAAACATATGATCATTTTTCTTCAATCAAAGTTTAAATTCATCTCTTAACGTATGCATATTTCATCAGTACAGCATGTGATAAATGTTTTTTTCAGATATGTACTTAAAAGAAACCATTTTTGTGTTAATTATAGCATAATTTTAAATAGTTATTTAATCCTCTTTTCAATTTAATATAAATTCATGTTGTCGCTGTTTTTCACCGGTGAAATACAAATTAATCTTGAAGATTGAATAAAGCCTGTAGAAACAAATAGAAGTTGATGGCATCATTCAATTTATATATTTGAACATTTTTTTGATGTAAAACTTTTATTACGTCATTTTCGACCACAAGAATGACTGACATAGATAAGACTTCCAGGGCATTACCAAGGAAAGTGCGAGAAAAATAATTCTATAAAAATTTAAAAATACTGAAATAATTGTAAATTATTTCAGATTAATAGACAATTAGAAGATCAAAAGAAATAGATAAAGTTCGTACTACCGACATACTTTTGGTTTATTATTCTATGAAGCATAGTCGTGCGTATTAATCTCAACAAAAGCACCATATTTTCGCATTAAATGTTTGAGCATTGTGTTGATAATGACGAACATCCAACAGAAAACAAAATAGTTAAGGGTCGACCAACTAGAAATTTTCTTATTTCCTCTTAATAAATCACTTCAGATTTTTCTGTATACATTATAATTTACGATAATATATACATTGAATCAAGACATTTACCAATGAAACATTTATATGATGAGAGGAATGGTCGAATGACAACTAACTTAGTATCAGTTGAATTAGAAATCTATCTCAATTCGCCTGTATTGCATATTAATATATATATATATATACATATAATACAATCAAAACTTATTCAAAGATCAACAGGTGGTAACATTGGATGTAACAACAGGAAAATGTTTTTCGAAACTGAATTCCCGCAAACAATAATCGTCAAAAATGTGTTGATGTCAAACTGGAATTCAATTTTCGAGGGTGTCACCTTTTATTTTTATTTTTTTTTAATGATCCAGTAGTGTTCAAAATATAATCAAAGACAATGCGGCCCTTTTTTTATTATTTTCGCTTGGAAAAATCTCCGATTTTGACTAATGACTATCATTTATTCTCGTCATCGTTCAAAGAATATGACACCAATCAACAGAAAACATAGTTTATAAAAGTTCGATCAGTTTCGGTCAGACATCGTCTTTCTTTCAAGTGAATAACCAATCTTTTAATATTCTTGTATAAGAGATAAAATACATAATATCATACATTTTTTCGTGTTTATTATAACATCTGCAAAAATAGAACTAATAACGATGTTTAAATTTAGCAATATTCATTAAACACTTCTTTTTTGCTTTTGTTCTATCGGTGTTGCTTTTATGTATGACATTGCAATACTTTGTAGGTTAACAAAACGAGAACTGCAGTTCAGTTTATTGAAATTGAAGGTATAGAGAAATAGAACTCAAATTACATAGTAGAAGATCAGATAATACGCTTTGATATATTTCTATTTTTCAGTCAACTAAAAATTAAAAGACAAGATGGCAAGTACGTTCTATGTTGTATTGGATCAAATACGAAAATTAATGGATCTTTATGCATTGCCTGTTATTTATGTATTTGGTAATTTGGCGAATGTAATTAATGTGTACGTTTTCTCACGTCATAATATGCGATTAAATGCATGTTCGCGCTATTTTGTTTGCTTATCACTTGCTCATCTTCTCTTACTCAATATTTCCTGTCTAACACGTCTTATAGTAGTGTGGACGGGCCATGATTATGCAATAGATAGTTCTATCTATTGCAGAATGCGTTCCTATTTGTTCAATCTAAGCATTCTTCTCTCACGTCAATTCATCACTTTGATTTCAATTGATCGATGGTTAGTAACATCATCTAGTGCATGGCTTCGCAGGCAAAGTTCACCAAAAATTACTCAATGGTTGATTATAGGCAGTGTTATATTTTGGTCACTCTATGCTATGCATGCTCTAATTGGATATGGATCCAATCCGAGTGGTTGTTATCCATCTCCTGGCACTATTTATAGCCTATTCGCTTCTATTGATGCAATTATGACAGCGGTCTTATCATTAGTAAGTCGTTGTTCTTTTGCTACAAAACTTTTTTTACATTTGATTTCTAGGTAATCATGATTATCTTCAGCATTCTCACTCTACATAATCTTCGCTTAAATAGTATCCGTCGAATACAACCAAGTATAATGCAACACACTCTTGTTACAGTACCCGAACGACAACGAAGATCAAAGCGCAATACTCAATTCCTTCGATTGTCTCTTCTTCAAGTACTGGTCTTCATCATACTCAACTCTGGATGGACAGTTTTTGCTATTTTTAGCGCTGTTTCCAAACCAGCAACTTTGGGTTTGTTCAATACAATACTTCTGGTATCATTTTTACAAGGGTTCGGTATTACATTACTCTACATCTATGGCACTGTATGTATTGTTATTGAGGAAAGAAAGAATTGACTTTTTATATGATTATTTTATAGACTACATTGATCGTATACACATTGGCTTCGAAAATCTTTCGCAGCGAGTGCTGGATGATGTGTAAAAGATGGTGGAACAAAGCAAAACAATGTTTTTATAACATGTTTTAAAACAATATCTTCAATATCATTCTACGTTTTTGTCGCTTATTCTTGCTTATAATATCTTTATTTACCTTGTACCTTTCCTAGCTTTTACTAATCATAATAAATAAACGAAATTGTAATGTGAATAGGTGTGGATATCCCATTTTGCTCAAACTTTTGGTCAACGATACCTCCATCGAAATCTATACTCACACTAATGAACTACACAATCGGTTTTTTCGACTTCGACCTCGAAAAACTTCGAACTTTTTTTGTGGTGAATTGAGAACATCTAAACAGAAACGACTCGATTCTGAAGATAATTTCGAAAGCTGTAATAAAGAATTGTTTTTACAATTAATACATATACTTCTTTTTATGCTATTTAGGGTGGATGTGGGTGTGAGTGAACGATATCTAATTATAATATGCACATGCACGCCTACACCCATCGTCACCCTCTACATTTTGATTTTCATTGAAAATATATATGATATTTAGAATCAGCATGACAAAATACATTGGAAAATCCAATTTTTCTTCAAAAAATATTTTCGATGAAAAATTTATCTGTATTCGTTCCTCATCAGACTTTTGTCGTCTAAAATTTTTGTCGTACTCATCTTGAGGGTGAATGTGGATGTCTCGTGTTGATCTACAACTATACCCTTTGGGAAAAAGAAATCGGGACTGTTTTTCCATTAGATTGATAAAATCAATTCCGAGAAAGACACGTCATGTATGTCTCTTGATTAAATTGATGAGAGGAACTCAAAAAAAGACAAGTTAGGATTGTTTTCCATTAAATTGATGAAATGAATTGAGAAAAAAAGGACTCCTTACATTGAAAAGACAAAAGAGAGAGAGCAAAGCAGAAAAAGAAATGTTTAATTATCGGAAAAAATCATATATCTCGTCGTTGCACATGATGTACTCAAACTTTGAAAGAATACTTTTCGTCAACAAAATATTAGAAGAAAGAAAAGACGTTATTAACTGTTTAATAGTTTTTCTAATGTAATCATGGATATGTTGTTTTCTACTCACAAAAGAAGTTAACTTTTTCTTGCCATAATTATTTATTTAGATGTACTTTTTCTGTGAAATAACATAGTTTGTATTATTATGGTTACAACAAACCTAGATGTATTCACAGATTCTCCATTTTCATCTTTTCTTTTTTTAAGAGAAATCAAAAAGATTTTCCAACTGATTCTTTCTTCTTTTGCATACAGAATACATAATACATGATAGAAACATATGAATGAAAGAAAAACAAGGCAAAACAATTTTTGAGTGAATATTTTTCATTGAGAAAAAAATACGTTGGAATGCTTCGTTATGATAAACAACTATTTAACTTTGTTTAGAATAGTAAAAGTACTTTTTACTGTAATTTATCTACTGTTATTTTTCGAGTGGCCATATACATTCCTCGAGCAGCTGCTACTTTCTTGAAAATAAACTATTGGCATTCAAGTTTCGATTTTCTCCATGAAATCCAGTTGAATTTCTACCTTTTACAAAATCAAACATTTTTATAAATTCTTGAAACTAGAGGGTGTGGGTGAGTATTAGCTAAGTATAATATCCATACCCATACCCACACTCTCTGGGAAAAAGAAGTCGGAACTGATTTTCCATTAGACGAATGAACTAAATTCGGGGAAAAAGGTGTCGGGACTGTTTTTGCATTAGACTAATGAAATGAATTCGGGGAAAAAGAAGTCGGAACTGATTTTCCATTAGATTAATGAAATAAATTCTAGGTAAAAGAAGTCTGAATTGTTTTTACATTAAATTGATGAAACAAATTGAGAGAAGAAACGATGCACAACCCACTCAAATGAAAGAAAAAAATAGAATTTATTGCTCAATAAATACTGTCTTCTATTATGAATTGAATTCATTTCATCAACTTACAGTCGGACTGGTAATGGCTTCAAGAAGAGTTTGTTTATGGCTGTTATTTATGATTATCACGCAATCAATCGAAGAAGATATACGATCAATGCAAATGTCTATAATCTCTGATTATAAATTTCAATGTGTCAATACAACTTGTTTTCCATTCATGAATGTTTTCACATCAAACATCAAGAATTGTCAAGTAGCCTGCTTAGCTCAAAGTCAATGTGCAGGAGCCACTTTTGATCGATCAACTTCTAATTGTGAATTATTTGATAATATATTGAACCAAAATGGAAATATGTTGGCTGATGTCGATACTATTAGCATCAATGTCATCACGGGAACACGATTTCCATCAGGTACAGTCTTAATAAAACAGATTTACATGAAAATATATTTATGAGAAAGAGAAAAAAGCAATATCAATTTATTCAGAATTAAAATAACTTGATAGAGATATTGAATACATTTGTCTATAAATCACATATCGGTTCGACTCAAAACGGAAAAAAAATATCTAACCAAAGCCTTCTCCGAAATCTTTGTAAGACTTGAAATTAAACAATCAATACATCGAATATTAAAAGAATAATAAAGAAAAATGAGATAATTATTTTATGAAATGTCTATGAATATTACGATTTTCATATTTAGAAATCTATACAAAATAGCGATATCTATGAACCAAATTCTCATCTTAAATAAAAATGACACATTTCAAGAAAAGAATTTATATGTAAACTTTCTATAAATTAATTTGTATAATTCTAAAAGTTTAATTATTAAAATTATAAGAAATATAAATTCAGTCGTTAAAATTATTACAGAAAAAGAAAAAAATTAATAGATAAACATTATCCAATTATTTAGTCTTAATCTGAAATCGTTTTTCTAAAATAGAACCAACTACAACATCAACATCAATAACATCATCTTCAGCATCATCCTTATCTGCAACATCATCGTCATCAACATCATCATTGTTAACAACAACCTCATCATCAACAACAACCTCATCATCAACAACAACCTCATCATCAACAACAACCTCATCATCATCATCATCATCATCATCATCAACAACAACAACAACAACAACAACAACTGCTACTTCATCAACCACATCGTCAACAACAACA